TCACTCAGACCCAGGCAATGAGATTTTTCTCCATTGGATAAAACGAAGGATGTACTCATCATTTCTAATCAGAAACTTTTTTAGAAAACCAGCTGCGAAACACGACAGCTATGCCAACACGAATCACGTACTTGGAGGAGAGATTCGCCTCCTGGAGTAGTTCAGTAAACCTTTCCCTTTTCTCCTTCAGTTTGTTCTTCTTTTCCCTTCGCTCCTCGTCGGCACGTTCCTTAACGAAAGACTCGAAGGCCTGTTTTCTCTCCTTGCTGACGAGTAGGAGGTACCGTCGATCAAAAACTATTTTATGAAGTTCCTTTTCCCAAGTCGAAAAGGCGGACACCTAAACAAAAAAAGAATGAAACATTTAAGTTGGATAAGGAACTGTAGGTACACAAAGCGAATGTGACGAGAAAGCCAGAAAGGTAAAACACAAATCTAAAGCGTCATACGTACCTGTTTTTCAATTAGCATCTCTCGAAATTGCTTCATCCGAACTTCTAGTGGTAGCAGTGCTCGTTCGCGGGCAGCACGCTCCTCGGCCTCTTTGGCAGTTTCCATTCCCACAGGGATACTTTCATTACCTTGTGATTTGTCAGAGTCGGTAACCACGGTGTCTCCTGAAGTAGGCTTCTCATTGGCAACCGCGTCCTCTGACTCGCTCTTTTGGGAGGTTGCTTGGTCTGATGCTTCTTCAGTTTCTCTAAAATATGTACGCGAAGTGAGCGAAAAACTCCGGATTTCAACAAGGCCTTTAAGAAAGGACTGTAAAGTGTCTAAGCTAACATATTACGCATTATAATTAAGGACCTGTGTTTACCCAAAGGGGCACTAAACAACGCAAATGGCTAAATACGCATACGAACGTAAACTCAGACGAACATACATTTCCGTCTTCGATAATCGGCGATACTTTCGACTTGCAACAAGAATTAAGATATTAGACTAGCAAGATAGAAAGGCCAGTAGCTCACAATTTTATTCTTTTAGACGGCGGGTCGTCTGAATCATCCGATTTGGCGGAGGCTTCTATCTTATTCTGCTGTGTGATCTGATTTTCTTTCTCCTCTACAGCTTCGGTAGGTTCGGTCGTTTTTGCTTCGCTGGGAGGTTTCTCGAGAAGTTTCTCAACATCAGCACGGCCCTTAAGTTCATCCGGGGTTTCCCACACGCTAGAACGCTGACTAGGGTTAAAGAAGAACACTCGGCCATCACCCGTCCAGACAACACACCAAGGTGTGCCACTGACCGGTGTGCTGGATATCGGACGGCTGGCATCCTTCTCTTCCTCTTCCTTAATTTTCTTTGCTTGGTCCTCGGCTGAAGCGTTGGACTCCTTTTCAGAGGCAGGCACCTCACTGACGCTGGATTGCGTAGCAGAACCAGTCTGCGCCACGGGCTTTATTGAATCCTGAAAATAAATCTTCGTTTATATATGGCGGCGCAAGCAAGTTGTAAGGGTACGCTGCTAGCTCAAAATAATGCCGTGGAACGAGCATGGCGAATGGCTCAAAAGTAATTACTAGTGTCATAGTGTTGACGGGAGAGATAAGTACTGTGAAAACGATATAATGCTTACCTTAGCTTGTGCGTTCTGCGTTGGTACTGCAGGAGTTTCTGGCGTTTTCGCCGGTGTGCTCGAAGTTCCGATAGAACCTAGCAAAATAGGACCATTTAGTAATACGAATACTGGGATTGGAAACCTAGGTCGACAACTGTCGAGGACTGGCAGCTTACCTTCCCAATCGGCTAGCACTTTCGGCTTTTCCCATGTTGTCTCGCCGGTTCGCGAGTTGTGATAATATGCCTTTCCATCACCGCTCTTATATTCAGTCCAGACAGCAACTTCCGGTGGCTTTACAGGTGTAGGCGTGGCCGATATCGCGACGGGTGTTGGAATGTTAGCTTGTGCTGGAGTAGCAATAGCGGATGTTGCCTGCGTAGCGGTTGCATTCGAGTCCTTCTCGACTTCTCCTTGGCGAACAACTGTGACACCTTCGGGTCGATCCCACCTTGTTTCTCTTGTACGCATATTATAATAATAATTCTTCCCATCTGCTGTCGAATTTTCTACCCAGATATCTTCTTGTTTTACATTTCCTTGCTGTCCGAGGCTAGGATGAAGACTCAACTGGCCACCAGTGTTTGGAGGCATTAATCCTTGCATAGGATGCATCATATTAGGTCCCGGAATCCCACCGAAGCCCGGAGCACCTGTTGGAGGCATATGTAATGCTCCGGGGGGAGGCATACCATACATACCCATGGGCATCATGTTTGGCTGACCGGGCTGCATGAACGGAGGCATGAAGGGTGGAGGAACGCCCGACATATGCATTCCCGGGTAACACATACCTGGTGGTCC